GATCACGCGTTCCATCTCGCTAGGCTCAGCGGCACCGAAGAGCATAATAGAACAGTTGTCATTGCATGTGCATAAACGAATGCCTACACTCCGGGGCAGCAGCGATCAAATATTTTGACGCATCATGTAGCTCTTGTCTCACCTCTTCGATGACATCCCTTACCTTGTCTTTGGAGTTTGGTGCAGTGCACAATGCGCGATGATGCCCTTCGTCTTTTGGGATGAGGAAGTCTAACGTTGTGTTTTCAACTCTTGACCAACACCATTATTCCTTTCCTTTTTTCACACACTTTTGCTCGTCTTCACACCATTTCAAGCAGTAGGAACACCTTTTGCCCTTGCGTATGGAGCGACGTCGTCGGTGGCCTCCTCGGACTTCGGGACACGATTAAGAGAAATGTACTCCTCCAATCTCACAAAACTCACATGTTACACGAAACTTGAGTCTCCATGATCTGCTAGCAATCTTTCTAGTCGGAAGCAGTCGTACCCCTAGTCCCGTCTCTAGGTCTTCCAGATCTCTTTCGACATCCCCGCGAGAGCGTTCCCTTATACCACGGTGGCTACTGCTAACACGGTCGTAATCCATATGTCGAGAGCTACTGCTTGTTGGACTCTTCTGCTCTCGAGTCCCACGATCATTGCTTGTCTCTTGAGGAACAGATGGGAGTGGACTTCCTTCTCCTCGTCGGTGTCAACAGTTCCAGAGATCAATCGGAGTCAGTATTCGTCGTCCGTTGGTTCCTCGGGATTCGTACTTCCGTGAGGATTGTCCTGTGCCATTTCGACATCTTGAACTTCCTCCTTTTACTTCTTTTTTTCGATGCTTCCGGTTGAGCCGAAAGGGTGCTCGAGAAGTGGAGATTCTTTAAAGTCGTCCGACTCTCGGTGCGATTGTCTCGAGGAAAGTTTTTGTTTTCTTTCCGATTCATTTTTCCCGCTTGGTCTAATTCGTACTCAATTTCTGAGACAATACTCTCGACCTTCTGAAGGTGTTTGTTCAACTTTCAGCATGAATTTGTCCTTATCGATGTTCTTTTCCACTTTTTCTTTGTCCCATTTTTCCTGTGCCTTCCTGTCGATCTGTCCTGCCTTGAAGAGGGTCCAGTGCATTAAAAAAAGAAGTAGAAAGCGTTGTGAAGGCGTAGGAGATTGTCTTTCGTTGAAGCTGCCATCTTGAGAAAGCGGCGAGCGATCAGGATGAGCTCTCCCGGGCGGCTATTGAAAAATGTGGAGTTGATGTGTTGACGCATCCAGAATAGATCCAGCTCCTCTGCTTGTTTGGTTTATCTTGTAGTGTCTACCACGTCAGAGATAATTCCATTCTCAGATCCAGCGATATTGGGTACTGTGGAATATTAGCTTGGGAGCGAAATTCCCCGAGATAGAAGCTTTGTTTCGGCATTGACCTAGCGACCTTAGAAATTGAAGAGATTATTGAATTCAGATACCAAGCATGAGTATATCAATAAGGACAGATGCATACAAACATTCATTTCTGAGTTGTGACATAATTTACCGAGTACTGCCCTATGTTCCTTAATGCTGCTTATTGTGCATATCATATTGAGGGCTTAATGGGATTTTATGAAGGTGTTTAGTGAAAATCCTCATGATTAGTATGATCATTCTTGGGATAGCGAGTAAGCCCCACACCAAGATTCGTAATCCCCACGTTATCAGAAACAGGCACATGAGTCTGATACTGATGACCAGTCCCAATATTGTGCCTGCTAGCGTTTTGTACCATTGCATGAACATGACGTGACGATATGTGGGAAATCCGGCCAGAAGGCATCGGAGTTTGCTATCGGTTCTCCTTGGAGCCACTGCTCTAGTCCCTGGGCGGAGTCGGTGAATTTGAGAACACCGCTCAGTTCTAATGAAGTGATCAGTTTCCCGCAAGAAAAAGAACAAAGAAATTTATTCCTTGCGCATGGGTGACTGAAGCGAAGGGTGAAACGACTCCAGTGATGTTGCAAGGTATTGAGAAGGTGTGGCCTCGCAACACCGCTTCAGCTTGGATATTGTTTTGGGAAGAGACGCAGAGTACTTGAGTTTTGCTACCCGTTTGCGCAATTGTAGCATCCTGTTAATTCTTCTGCAGTGATCGTGCAGAGTGCGTTGTCCACCAATACTTAGGTCCGAAGTGTGTCTTGAAATGACAATATAAATCTCTGAAGCGACCATATTGAGAACTGTGTTCTGTACCTTCAACAGAGAATATTGCCGGAATGATATTGAGGGAATTGCGGCTGGCAGTTGATTCCTGATATTGTTGAACCAATCACTCCATTGGAAAATCTTTGCATCTGCAATCAGCTGTAATCACCGCGAGAAAGCATGTTCAATTTTCGAAAACGTCGCATGTCAAGGTACTATGTGCATTGCGAAAAGTGGAACATCTCATATTGTTCTGCGGAAGAACCGTGCTGCTTCCATCCATTATGAATTCAGTATTGAATAGTGGCAGGAGTGGTTTCCCTACATTTGCCAAAGTGATACTGAATAAGTTCCATTTCGTAGGTTAGTTAGGTAGGAGTAGCTTCGTGACTGAGGTGGTCTTCGTGCAAACATCGGAACTCCTACGCAGGATTCGACACAAGCTGTACTGCCGGAATAATTATTCTCGTGCGCAAGCTCTGGCACCATGCTGGAGGCATAGATTGCTGCATACTTGTCTCCGGTACACGCTCTATTCAGTGCTGTCTACGACTTTGTGTATCGCATCCCTAGTAAAGAGGTCAGTTTCTGACTCGCATTGAAGCAGTAGCGACTTCCATTGCGTGCGGATTTCATGAACAGCCGTCTTGATCTGTAACAGCCGGAGACACGCTTCACTCTTGAACGGTTTGGTTTTGAACTGCTCCGAAAGCTGTATTTGACAGATGACTTCCGGTCCTTCGTGCAAACAGTAGAATAGTGTAAGAAGATGTTGACTTGTTGGCATAATTGTATCTGGAGAGCGAATGATATTGGAATGATTTCCATAATTCGTCGTCTGAAGACGTCTTGCTCTGCTTCCTCGCAGATATTTGGCAGTGCCGCATCAGGAACTTCAATTTTGTTCAAAGACACGGGCTACTTTTCGCAATGGTTGCTTAAAGGAATCCTTCGCGGAAAATTCTTGCATTCTTTCTTGACATGAATGTGTCAGTTGTGATCACTGGAAATAGCACACAAAGTTTCACGCATGAAGATTCGGTTTCTGAAGAGAAACAAACGTACAAAAACTACACGTTATGGACATCGAAGGTAACCAAAGGCGAGGCATGGAAAGAAGTTGGCCTTTGGCCGGCTACGTATCAGGCGACGCAATGAAAGAATCGGGTTAAAGCGCGCGATTTCGGAGAGTAGAGACAAATCGATCGATAGAATAGGATGGAGTAGAAGTGTAAGATGTGAATGCAATAAGCAGAAGGCCAGAAAGAGTTTCTAGTGAAGGCACTCCAAGAACCAAGTGGAAGCATCCCCGTCGCCAGCATTTGTGAAAGACGTCCGTGGGCAATTTGAACGCGTAGCAGCCCTTTCGATTTTTCGAATTTTTACCAAAACAAAAGCAATATTTCTGTTCTTTTCATTCTTATCGTGGATAATGAGTCTCAAGCCAGTGATTTATGGCTGAAATAGAATCATGATTTTTCCGTGAGGATTCCTTTAAGAACCAGTGGTACGTAGAAGAAGACGTAACTCCTACTATAAGAAGTAGTATAAAGTGACTGCAGTCGCGAATATTGCACTTTCAGGCCAGCATCCGGGATTGAAAATGTTCGCCGAACAGAACATACATGATATTGATTCACAGAAAAGAACACCAGGACATAACACTTCCATAGTACTGATTGAATGATTGTCTACGAACTTCCGTTGGGCTAGAAGTTCATGCAAGATGATGATGCAAGAGATGATGTCTTGAGGGAACGTTACGTTCTCGTTCAAATGTGGCTCCTCAAGGTGCAGGCAATATTGATTACGCAAAAATCCTACTATATATAAGCGGCTAGCGTGTGTCTGTTGGTGTGTGTGTGTGTTTGACCGGAAATTCATAGCTCGAGTCACAGTAACGATAGCGCAGTGGTTCTTACATATGTTATAGGGGGTGGGATGGGGACACAAGTGGTACGTGATAGGAACTGATAACGACTGATAATAGCTGATAAGAGGGGCTAGAAAGCGAGCATCGCCAATTTCGTTTTGTCGTTCATATTGGTACTAGAGCGTCTATACTTACAAGTGTTATGTGGGGTGGTCCCGGGACATTGGTGGTACATGATTGGAAGCGATAGCAACTGATAAGGGCTGATAAGATGCGTCAGAACGCAAAAGTCGTCGATTCCGTTACCTGGCTCGCGTTGACACCAGAGCAACCATACTTACAAGTGTTATGTGGGGTGGGACGGGGACATTGTTGGTGGGTGCCAGAAACTGATAACGATTGATAAGGGCTGATAAGGCGCGTCAGAACGCAAAAGTCGTCGATTCCGTTACGCAGCTCGCGTTGACACTAGAGCGTCCATACTTACAAGTGTCTATGTGGGGTGGGACGGGGACATTGTTGGTAGGTGATTGAAAGTGGTTGCACTGATAAGGGCCGATGCGCGTCAAAACGCTAAAGTCGTGATCGCGTTACCTAGCTCGCGTTGATACTAGAGCGTTCATATTTACAAGCGTTATTGGGG